CAAATAATGACTAATCTGGTGATAAATCGAGATATTGCTGTTGGTTTAAGGGATATTGTGCAGAAAACGTCGTATAGGTAGCTACGACAGAAATTAGGTTAGGCAGAGATAACCAGATATGTGTGCTCCCACGTCGCATAGGGTTACCCTGGGCAGCGTTTGTTAAATTAAACTATGTATTTAAATGAGATCTACCCATATGCTTCAAAACTAAAATCTTTGACCAATGAATGTTACCTGTACTCATTTATGGAACGGAAACGATGTCTATGGAGCGCCAGATGTTGTGTGTCTCTCTGAGAGACCGAATCCCAAACGAAGAAATACGTCGTAGACACAGTATATCAGTCAACCGATAGACAAAACGTATTTTATAGTGGAGATCAAGGCAAGAAGCACTACGGAACAAAGGACGCTCACCAACTAGATGGACTGATGATCTGAAGCGTGTTGACAATAACTGGATGCAAGCCGCACAAGACAGAGACAGATGGATAAAGTTGAGGTAGACCTATATCCAGCAGTGGACGCATATAGGCTAATGATGATGGTTTTATGGTTATCGTGCCAATACTTGGTTGCCAGAGCCTGATTTATTATCTATCAATTTTCAATAGTTACCGCTCGAAGAGACGAGTTTAAAATTTGTGGCATTCTGTAGACCAACTACACCAGCGCCCCTTACACCACAATAAAGCATAAGCCTTATTATTAACTACTGATTAGTGAAACTTGTCTGTAGCAACATTCGTTACAAAAATATCTGCATCTGTCTCTCATTAAACCTGACTCCCAGGAGGAGTGTAGTGGTCATCGTGATATCGTTTATTGTCTGCCTCCAAAGATCTGTGTCTTTGATAATTTCTTTTAACTAATGCATATGTCTTTTGTAAATGCTTGTAATTTGATCTATCCGTATTGTTGGAGACCTTTCTCATAATCTTCGGCCTTCTACCTTTTCTTGATAAGTCTTTCCATGTTTTCTGTGTCTGCTTTTATAACATATTCAAAGTATTTTGCTTGTAGGAAATTTTGGACTTTGCTAAAAAGCTGTTTGCTGACTTTTAGCACATTTAAAATTTAAATATTTATTATGTAGTCGGTCCACAGAATTCGTATCATTCTTCTCCAACAGAACAAAATAAATTATTTTAAAAAACAATTTTCAAAGAATACTTTTCATTTCAATGTTTACTATTTGATTGCCAAATGATTCTTTTTATTTACGATATTTGTTGATTACTAACCATTCAATTTTTATTCCACGGCTATCACAAAGTTCAATTCGATGTAATTTAATACTTTGATCACCCATCAGTAGTTCATTTTTACGACGCCCCTGGCAATCATATAGGCTTAGGAAGTATAAGAATATGGAAATAAGTCCCTAGTGCCCTTTCCAGAGAGGATAAAACCCTATAAGGCATTTATTAAACTGAAAACCCCACACAAAACTAAGGTAATCATTTATCATGATTACGAACTGCTGCAGTATATAGGGCTATTTATGAAACTTTTTTCAAATATGCCACATAAAATACATACAGAATAAAAACATTTAAGTCATATACTTAGCGTTTTACATTATTTATTATTTATTGTTATTAATGTAAAGGAAAACTATAATTGGTTTCGAGGTCATAAAAAAGTGAGCTTAATTAATAAAAAAATTTATTTTATTTATGTAATCTATTTGTCATTAGGGCTGGATCAAACGAAAAAAAGTTCAAAGGATACATTTCTTAAGCTTTCGCGTATTTACTGACCGAGTGGTGATAGTTTGAAATATTAAAAGAATTAGACTAAATTGAGTAGTGGCGACAGTCCCTGAAAGAATTGTTTAGAATTGCTCTCAAGTAAGAAAGAATATTTAGGAAGATCAATTCAAGATGAAGTTACTACTATAAATACAGAGTAATGAGAGACTAAATGAAGATGTTTGCGAACGTAACTTAATGGAAAATACAATTTGTAATACCATCGTAATATACGTTGTGATTATTGGGCATTTAATTTTGGGCACTTTTATAAAATTAAAAATTAATATATTGATACGACTGACAATCGACTGACATCTGTTGTCATTTGGAATCATCCTTAAATCAGAAGGGTTATGGGATAACATTTTTATAGAATTATTTAATTTTTTAATGTCAGCAGGTTAGTTCAGTATTTTATATATTTTTAATAAAGCTTGAGTGGTAATCTAAGTGTTCCAAGAAAACCATGGTACAAATTAGTGTCAGAAGTAGGACGTCTTAGTAGCTAAGCTCAAACGATTATTAGTTAAAAATGCCGAGAACTAGGGGTCAAAGGAATTTGCCGACAAATTCTAAAGATGTTCCAGAGTAGCCTATCTTACTACACCAGATGACTTTTAAAATGCAGCAGGTTATACAAATGGCTACAAATAAAACACTAGGAAACGTCTTGGCTTATGTATTTATGTAATAGGCAGCCAAAACCGCATCAAAAAGTCGCAAAATAATTCGCCAGGTTCAAGCTTTTAACGACAATAAAAAATTTGGTAAATTTTTAACAAGAATGAAAGGTTTTCTTAAGTTAACAGAAAATAGAAGCCGCAACAGTAGTCCAACCACACTTAGATGTTAGAAATGTGGAGAACTAGGTCCTCGTAGAAAGCATTCTCAGTATACGGTGCCTCAGGAAAATAAACAGGAAAATGAGCAGTCACTAGCCATAAGGGGCGATAGCTTGTTGACTATTACAATGCCACAGTAGTTAAAATTTTACACCTTCAGCACAACGGGAAAATTATCTACGATTTCTGGTAAGCCTAATAAAAAATTTGTCAAATAACCATTGATACTGGCGCAACTCACACTATAGTCCATCAAAGTATGATATCTGTTTCGGAGATCCATCGATGCGAAAAAAGTTATACTTTAACAACCACTCCGGAACAGTAGCTCCTATCCATAATTATAACGACGTAGAGTTGCAGCTTCCAGAACAGAAAATCATTCATCGTGCGCTAGTAGCTGAGAGCTGATATCATGAATGATGTTAGGGTTGGTCTAGACTTCTTGGTCATTATAACGAAATGGTTTCAGCAGACAAAACCAAGACAACGTTTTCGACTGGCCAAGGTCTGTCGGACTTAATTTCCTATCATTTGGTCTGTGTAATGCCCAGTCACCTTTAAACGTTTGATGGAGACAGTGTTAAGGAGATTACATTGGAAGATTTGTTTCGTCCACTTTTGACGAAAATCCAAACCTTATCAGTGTTTCTAAAGAACTGCGAAGTGCAAATGTAAAATTGAATTCCAAGAGATGTTAGTTATTCCAAAATCAAGTGACCTTCCTTGGATATATGAAGAATTGAGACAATTGAGAGTCTTTTGAAATTGTATTCATACTATAGTCGCTTTGTAAGAGGTTTTGCTGATATTACAAAATTTTTACAACAGTTAAACCCGAACAAACAGTGCCAAAAAGCTTTTGATAGACTGAACGACTTACCCCTGCACCAATACTAACATCATCACATTTTAAGGTAAAACTCATAATCGACACTGATGCTAGCAATGTGGGTCATAGTGGTGTTCTTTCAAAAAACATCGATGGGACAGAACGAGTTATGGTATACTTTAGTAAAGTCTTCTTGGAAGCCGAAAAAAATTATTGTTTACACAACAAGAATTAATTGCTATGGTGAAAACATTGAAAAATTTCTATAAGTTTTACCATTGACGTAAGATTCTTATTTGGACTAATTGCGCTTGTCTTTAATGAATCCTCCAATCCAAGAACCTCAAAGGACAGGGTGCTCGATGGCTAGAAAAACTTCAGTCGTAAGATATTGATATTGAATCACGTAAAGGTACTCAAAATTATAATGCCGATACCTTAAGTAGACAACCTTGTCCAGAAGACTGCAAATACTGTGGCCAAGTTGAATTAAAGGAACGCTTGGTTACAGCCAATTGTATAAGGATCCAAATTGGACCAAAAGATCATTAAAATTGCACAATCCTTCTTGCTTAACAACTTGTAGATGGTGATGTTGCACCAATCCTTACCACGATAGACAAAGGTGCTTGTCGGCCGATCTGGAATGAGATTTTTTAAGAGTTTTAGAAACAAGAGTGTAATACTGAAAAGTTATTGGGTACAATGGCATTCCTTGGAATTAGTGGATGGTGTTTTACATGGGAAATACATAGGACATAGAAAATAGGAAAATTCCAATAAAACTCAGCACAAATTTCAACTTGTTCTCCTAAAACACCGAGTTAGCGAAGTACTTTTGGAATATTACAGCCGTGTAGTCGGAGACAATTTGAAAAACAAAACAAGATTTTAGTATAAGGCCGAAATAGCTTTTACTGGATAATATGTCGCTCAAATGTTGAGATTGGTGCGGTGAATTCCGTTATTTCCTTTTGCAAACAAACGTAATATGGAATATCCATAAATTACGTCGTAAAACATTAGATACCTCCTCCCATAAATCTTACAGTGAAGGCCATCCCTCATGTCTACATTGCAATTAACGCATGACATATGGTCATAACCACAAGGTATCTAAAACTTTACGTTTTTATATGATCTATATGATACTTATATGATACTTTGAATCATGCTGCTCTCGGTGAAAGCTAGTAATAAAATTAAATTTGTAGAAAAAATTGCGACAAATTGAAATAAATTACACTTATGTTTATGCCCTCTTCATACATGTATACCATAGAAATAAGAAAAGTCCCCCCTCTTTCTTATGTACGACGTAGTTGATAGATGTTCCCATACCTGAAAAAACTTCATCAAACGAATAATAACAAAGCAAATAATAAAAAGCTGATAAAAGAAACAACAGCTAACAATTATGTTTAACGAGATCTTAAAATTATCAGAATACTCAAAAAATGGGCAACCAGCAATATGATTCCTCTTGTCCTCCTGCTATTATTAAAGGCTTAGAAGCGAATGATTCTGTAACCATGTAATTTTTGTAATTAGATAAATAGATGAGATATGAATAAAACATCAACAGAGAATGTTAAATCAATACCAAAAACTCTAGTAGTAAAAAAGGACAAAAAAGTTTCAAACTTAAGCCAACGATTCTATAATAGGTAATTAAATTTACATAAAATGGAATTAACTTCACTTAACAACTACATTAAGCAAGAAGTGAGAAAATAAATTTTAAAAACCTCAAAAGTATGCCTCATTAACATAATTTTATGCAATATTTGCAAATATAAACAAAAAATATAATAAACAAGAACAGGACAAAAATTAATAGACAAAACAAGGACAGATAAGACCAGATAAGAAATAGTGAAATAGATACAATAATAGAATCACTTGATACGAAAAGTTGGATTCGGACAAAGTTCAACATTCGGAAGAAAAAGAATAAGTCAACGTGTTCGCAAAACCGATGCATTTGAAGAGCAAGTAAACTTTTCGGGATAGATAAGGCTTGCTGCTTAAAACTTCTCTTTAAAATCGCATACCTCCAAAGCAACATATTTTTGACGCAAACATAAATTCTTGTCTATTCAGGCCTATATAAAAATAATGAACCATCCCTAAAGTTATATTAAAGTATACACATCCATTTCACAAAATTTATCTGGAAGAGCATCATTTTGAAAGATATAATGTGTTTGGGTCCTCATAAAGTCAAAAATGTGACAGCGCTCAGATATTTTCAGTTTATAAATGATCCACGTTTCTGGTTAAGTGGAAAATAAAATGGAAATGAGCTACAGGGACTCGCCGAAAAAGGATACGTTGGATAATAAAGTGATATTCTTAGATCTCGGGTCATTCATATGGTGATTATTATTGATATTTAAAGAAAAATTGAGTTTTGAGTTAAGAAACGCTTCGAAACGGGAGAAATACTTAATAGGTGATAATTTTGCTTTGAAATAAATGTTTGATACAGAATTTATGGTCACCTATAATATCTATTTAAGTACTAGTTTTCTGGAAAACTAAGAGAGAAAGTACGAAGAAAACATATTGGGCGATTATTAGACACGTACCCAATCGATTCTCCATATTTCACTTTTTAAACAGGTACAGATCATGATACAAAGAAAAGAGAAGATATGATCTTGCGCATGAGCGCGGAGCTGTCGTTTATATCTGTGACGTAATATGGAGAGGTAAAGCATAACCTCAACCTCTAGTATTGTTGTTGTTGTAAAGTGTACAGTTATCATTTAATTTTTGTAAGGGAAAGATACTCTTTTCGTTATCTAAAGATGAGGTGTTCAATAGCCCTGTGCAATAGTGACAACCAAAGTAAAGTGGTTCAGAAAGATATTATGTTTTTTCGGTTTCCAAACAATCCAAAGATTGTAAAAATGTGGGTAGAGGCATGTAAGAGAAAGGACAATTTTATTCCTAAAAATGGAAGGATTTGTTGCAAACATTTTACTGCAGATAGTTTTAAGAGAGATTTAAAATCTGAACTTATGGGAGTGTCTTTTAAAAATCACCGTCTTTTAAAAGAAGATGCAGTGCCTACATTGTATTTACCTTTTGCGAAACCAGTGGAAAGCAACTCAAAAAGACAGGAACGTTTGAGAAAAAGGGAATCAAAAAAATGTGTTCAGAATCTTCTTGATTCAGCTTCAGCATCTGACTTAGCTAGGTGAGTACTAGATAGAAAACCAAGATTTGGTTTAACTTTGGATGGTTCTTACAAATGTCATATTTAGATTTAGTTTAGTAGATTTTATTTGACACATACTTATTTTAGTGAATGCATTGGTGAAGAAAGTATTGTAGAGATTGCATCTGAAATTCATTCCAAAGAATCAAGAGATATCCAAGAAAAAGACCTCGAAAACAACTTATCTCAAGACTTATCAGCGGTATTAGTTGAAAGAAAAGATGTTAGGTAAGAAATTTTATATTATTATATGTACTATTGTGTCTACCTAAGTTTGAAATAGTAAAATAATTAATTTTCATAATATGTATAGGAAGCACAAAAAGTACCAAAAAAAGTTGTCACATAAGTTTACTAATTGATGTTATTTTCAGCATTATGACAGAGCCTGATATTAGGGATAAAACCGTACTCCAACTAAGACAAAAAATTGAATATCTGAAAAATGAAAATCAAGTGTTCCATAAATTCTTTACACCTAATCAGATCAAAAAACTAAAAAATCCACAAAAAAGAGCAACATGGACGGTTGAAGATATTGCAAGGGGAATTGTTATCCATTCTGCAGGGGCTCGAGCATATAGACTTCTTTTAAAAAAAGGTTATCCTTTACCTGCCATATCAACATTAAGAAGATGGTGCAGGAAGGTGAAACTAGAACCTGGAATTTTAAAACAAGTAAGATAAGATTGTTAATTTTATGGTAGCAGTTTGCAAAATTGCAAGTACTAAACATTAAAATAAATAATACACTTTTTTAGGTTTTCATGATTGTTGAAAAATCAGAATTAACTGATATACAAAAACTTTGCGTCTTATCATTTGATGAGATGAAAGTCCGAAAGGAATACATGTATGACAAAGCTAATGATGAAACACTTAAGCCATACAGTTATGTACAGGTAGCAGTATTAAGAGGATTATTTGGGAATTGGAAGCAACCAATATTTTATAATTACGACTGTATAATGACAAAAGAAATACTGTTTGAAATTATTAGCTTTGCAGAAAATGCTGGATTCCCAGTAGTGGCCATGGTAAGCGATCTAGGTGTAGGAAACAGAGGATTACATAAAGATTTAAATATTAATATTTCACAAACTAGCTTTACTAATCCAGTCAATAAAAAAAATATATATGTTTTTGCTGATGTGCCACATCTCATAAAACTACTAAGAAATCATTTTGTTGACCAAGGTTTCAAAGTAAATAATACTGAAATTAACAAAGATATAATTGAAAAAGTTATCAATTTAACAAGTACAACAGATCTCAATATTGCCCACAAAATATCTTTGGATTCATTGAATATAAGAGGTGCTCAAAGGCAGAAGGTGAAACTAGCAACAAAGATGTTTTCCCATACAGTTTCTAAAGCAATATCAAAATGTGGAGTGCTTGGAAAATTTGATAAGGAGGCCTGGATCGAATGTGCTGATTTCTTTAAAAATGTAAGGGGTATTTTGTTATTACATGTTTCTCGTACTTTATAACAACAATGATTTTGTTTCAGGTGAATGATTGGTTTGATTGCCTCAATGTTCGAGTACCTACAGAAGATTCTCGTGGTAGGAAAAAAGCATATGGGTTATCTCTTGAGGTCCAGAACAATATTTTGGATTCTATGTCCAAAACTGTTACAGATCTTCGAGTTAAGGGAAAGGAATATTTACTAGAAATAGTTTCAGAAAGGTATTCTGATAATAAATAATTCCCTAAAACAGCTTTTTGAAGACCTGAAGGCAACATATAATATCAGTTATATCTTAACCTATCGTCTTAATCAAGATGTACTTGAAAATTTATTTGGGGTTATAAGATCTAAATGAGGTCTTCAAGATCATCCAACTCTCCTAGAGTTTAAATATAGGTTAAGGTCATATATTCTAGGACATAATGAAAGCTCATTTTCTGAAGCTTGTAATATAGAGGACGATGGTACACCAAATTTAAATGTGGATAAAGAACATCTTTTAAGTAAACAATATTTTTCAACATTAACTGATTTAGGTAAGCTAGAAGATGAGTCAGCATCACCAGATCTACTGTCTAAGGAACTGGATGATCTTGCATAAGATGGGCTTGACAATTTGGCAGGATTTATTTGTCATAAGCTGAAAGGTGAACTTGAGATCAACTCGTCTTCTTCTTTGGCATCTTTAGATGAAAACTGTTTTACATGGGTTAATCATATTTCTGAAGGAGGGTTAAAAAAGCCATCAGAAAAATTAATGATCCAGTTCCAGCAGCTTGAAGAAATATTTATTAAATTTAATCCTAATAATGACCTAAAAATTTGCAAGGGATATATAACCAAATTATTAAATCTCTCCTCTAGCATAGAATGCAGCAATAAAATAAAATCATTATTCTTTAGGTCTAGAATGTATTTTAGACTAAGAAAACTTAATAAAAATTTGCGAGATCAGACGGTTAGCAGAAAAAGAAAAATGTCAAAGATAATATTGTAATTTTTTTTTAAATTAATTTTTATCGATGACTGTTTTAATTTTGTTTTTATATTACATATTTTAATTTACAACCTGTTTCATCGAAACTATAAGTAAATAGTTTGAGTGTTAAATACATGAGTGAGAAGCAACCCTATGGCAACCATTTTATAATATTTTTTACATTAGACCATATATTATTTCATGATTATATTAATCCTTTACATCTTCTTTTTGTATCATTATTAAAGACAGTTTTTCCTCTATACCCAAACCTTTTTGAGATACTACTGCAATATAAATTAAAATTTCATTGTAAAGAGTGCCTAATACACAATCAACGTGGATTTTCTCAGAATAAATTAATGGTAACAAATTCAATTTCTACTATTTGAACAAAAAATATTAAACACATTGGAGAATTAAAGTCAGATGGATACTATTTATACTGACTTCTGATAGAGTAGATCATGACATCCTATTAGAAAATTTAAATGCCTTTGGCTTAAGTCATCAATCCTTACAATAGTTTACAAGAGATTGCACACAAGTAAGAATAGATTGTTTATTTCAGATATGACTCATGTGACATCAGGAGCTCACAGTTCACCTTTGTTATTTAATATGTTTGTGAACAATATATCAGAATCTCTTATAAATATACACATTATTAATCATAATTATACAGATATTTTAAAAACACTCAAAAACACATAATGGTTTGTCATAGTTTTTTCAATCGTCTTGCAAATCCGGAAGGAGCGTGTAGCAGTCTTGCTTCATCATTTGTATGATTTCTCAGTCCATCATTGTAGTTTTCTGTGATTCTTCGAATTTCTTCCTCTACCAAAGGTGTAGCTGAGTCCTAGTGTAGGGTTTTATTGCTTATATACTAGGGTGGCTTGAATATAATTCTCAATATTTTTTCTTGGACTTGTTACATATGAGACAAACAAATCAAATATAAAAATTAACACCGTTAAGTACAAGAATAACTACTGATTTCATCTAGATTTGGTGGCCTTACATAGTATTTGAACATTCAAGTATTTAACAATGAAAATATGTCATCAAAAGAATGGCTGATTATATCTATATAATATGTGTTCTACCCCTCATATTTTTGTGAATTGTATGGACTTATTTTACTAAACTATGTACCATTTAAAATTATTGATATGTTTAATTTCTGCCTAATTTTAAATATCAATGAAATGTAAATACATGATACAAAAAATTACCCTTCTTTATTTCTATTATAAACGAAATAAAACCATGCTATAACCACAAATAAAAGAGTTTTTATTTTTAATTCCAGCAGACTTACATTAATTAGTTTTAAATACTAAAGTTTTATGTTAAAATTATAAATAATAAAATATTAAAGTGATGAAATTAAGCAGTCCTTCCATGTACTTTACGAATGTACCTCTCCGCATGACGTCACTGCGCAGAACAGACGAAATTTAGCACGCTATCGATCATACCTTCGTTTCGTTGTACCATGGGTACAGATGATACTTTTATATTTTCTTGAATAACTGATGCAACCCAGGTCGGGTTGAGCAAAGTTGCATTTAATATTTATTGATGTTAGTAATAACTATCTAATTTATTCTTATTTTTTTTTGTACATTTCACTTTAAATACGTGATTCGTGTTGTTTACAAAAAGCTGCGTATGGGTATTCGCTATAAAAACTTTCGTGTTAACTAATTTTTTTCCCATATCACATTTTGGCATTCAACTAAATTTAAGTCAAACACATGTAAAATTCGAATTTAACGTTACTAGTCAAAATCTCTATGGGGATATGCCCTAGATATTTCTGTAGAGGGAATTAATTGGTGTGAACAAAGTAAAAAATCTATGAAAAAATTCTTTATTTTTAAAGGGCGGTAACAATTCTGACAAATATTTCTCTATCCTGTGCGACTCTCAATATTGATTGAGTATCTGGACCAATCCGGTCTATAATGTGTTTCAACTGTGAACATTTTCTCCAAGTTATTTAAATTTATTGAAGTCTTCTATAAGGGTGTTGTAAATTTTAATATAACCTTATACATTTGGACGTATTGCGATTTACGTACTACCATTGCTTTTGTTTTATTGGTGGTAATTTTAAGATTAAAGGATTCGCCTTCTTCTGCTACTGTGTGAAGGAGTCGTTGAAGTTGTTCCGAAGTGTCCTCCAGGATGATAGCAACATCTTATGTTGTTGATCAAACTTCCGGTAACTTAGATGTCTCCTTGGATGTTCTTCAGTGCGCTCTGGAACACTTCCTCAGGATCAGGATAAAGGTTAAGGAAAAACGAATACAGAACGATGGCGCACTCTTCTTATTACGGAGTGATTACTGCATAGTTTTTCGCCTATTTTGTCTGAGACTGTCTGTTTTCAATACATCTTCTTAATGAAATTTATATCTCGTCGGTCTGCCTCTGTTTTAGTAAGTAGGTCAATAAGTTTGGTATATTTTACTTGGTTAAATGCCTTTTTATAATCTATCAAACTTATATAGACATCTTTTGTCTGTTAATATTGTTCTGAAGCTATTTTCTTGTGGCATTGTAAATTAATTACTATATATAACTGGGAATAAGCCACAATTAAAGATAAAAATACGTTTATTGACGTTTCAATTTCCAATTCGGAAATCGTTCTCAAAATACAAACACTGTTTGTATTTTGAGAACGATTTCCGAATTGGAAATTGAAACGTCAATAAACGTATTTTTATCTTTAATTGTGGCTTATTCCCAGTTATAAATAGTAATCTTTTGTCTGATCTCTGTATTTTTGAATAGCAATTTAAGACTAAACAGGGCCTACCTTTTCGTCAACTCTTAAAGAAACGGAACTGTTCATTGCTTATTTTGTTCGCACAATCTGTATTAAAACAATATAG